AGTTATGGAAGGATGGGACTACTTTCATGATTGGAAGTATAAATAGTCCACGTAAAGAAAGTGTATCCAATATTTGTGTCTTATGGTATCTCAATAATGCAATACATTCTTAGAAATGGAGAGTACTAGATTTACATATAATTTGGTGGCTTTTCTTACAGTCTGCTATAGAAACATTTGACCATGCTTGTCCTGCCACTGTCGTTGAATTAAATGACAAGATTGTTACTCAAATCAATGCAGTTAAAAAAATCTACTCAAAGAAGTGACTTCATTTCCTTTTTTGTTACATCTATCTAGATGCATCACTCTCAGTCACAAAACAGAAAAGCAAAATTTACAAACAAGTATCTGTCATAATGTCAGTTGCAGAAGCTACAATTAATAGTGTGTGTCAGTATCAGACACATGAAAGCTAAAAGACTTTATACTACATTGCAACAACAAATCTGAAATTAACACTAGTCCTGTTTCCAACAAGATGTGTAGAGGTAGCTAGAACCATATATGATTTTGGTATGTTCAAGCTTAATCACATCAAAAGGAAGAACCATAATTTTCAAGAGTTATGATGCAGACAGCTAGTGAGAGTTACTGAATCTGAAACAACTGTGTTCTGATTTTTCAACCATTGCAGCAGTGTTCCCAGTTACTCCTTGTGAATGTATCTTTAGCTTGTGAAACTGTATTTAAGTACACAGGTTTCATAGCTGATTGCTCCCAAAGAATGTAAAAAATTAAACAAAGCTGAGTCTCTAAAGAATAGAAGGAATCTGACTGAAAGGTTCAAAATTTTAAAGTGAATAAATTGGATTGATGCATCATATTTTTTCATGGTAAATGGTAGGACTAGGGGACACAGATTTAAAATATGATGGGATATAAGTACTCTGTATATTAAGCAATTTTACTCTTTGAACAAGGTGGCCAGCCTATGGAATAGACTGCTTCTTGCAAGAGCATTGGGAGAGTTCAACTGAAGGCTTGATGAATACTTAAAAATCAAGGCTGACAAAAGGCATCAATGTTTGATGAAATGAATGGAATAGCCAAGATGGACAAGGGAGCCCACTGCTGTCTCTCAAATGTTAAATTTTTGTCACATCATTCAGCTACATGGATGTTATAGAATGTTTGAAGAAACCAAGGACTAACCTGCAAACTGAGTGCTCTTGATCACTGCTTTACAATGCACAGGATATGCTTTTCGTATTTTTAAACTGAAACAACCTGATGTGGAAATTTATGGTTGATGTTTTATAAAATATTTTCTTTATTGACTTTGTAAAAATACCAGACTTCCAATACCTTTAACATCTATATGTATCAGAATGGCCACAAAAGTTTCATAATAAAAACTTCAGTAGTCATATTCAATACATAATTACTACCACCTCACATTGGATTTATGAAATTGACTTGTACATTTATGCTTGGTGGACAGTACTAATAAAACTTTGGTACATCTAACACCTTCTGGTGTATCATATGTAGAATTTGACATTTTCTATTAACTCTCACAAATAATTTTTCAGTCCTTATTATATATTAAAAAATAATACTAGCATAGATTTTGTTTTTATTTTTACCTTTTATTATTATTTGTCTTTCTAAGTTTACAGCCATCTTACATTGATGAAAATAATGCTCCAAATTATCAAATTTCTTTGCAAATCAACATCAAAGCCCATTTATACCTACAAGGATTTAAGCAATTCACAGAATACATGTAAATAACCCTGAAGAAAAAGACATAACTATTTTTAGTGCAAATATTGTATTAATACCTAGTTATCCCTATGTGCTTGGGTGGAGGTCAAAATGTGCATCCGATGACCTTTTAGAGAAGGTCTTTCAATATGATATTACATATTTGATGTCAGAGTTGCGAACTATTCATTCTATCTTACACTGCTGATTTAATGACATTTAATGGTAAATATCAAATATATGGGGATACTGAAAAAAGTACCGATATGCAATTTGGAGGTTCCAGAGGCTATGTAATGGAAACTGTACAATGATCAAAAGGTATTCTTATTCTTCACATGAACATCACCCTGTACTCCAGCTTTTAAGAGTCTGAATCAGACTGACAATGCCAATTTATAGACATATCTTGAGTACAAATACTTTTGTAACACATCTGATTTTTTATGCAAAACATATAAAGTTAATGTAGTAAATTTGGTATTATAGTGAACACTCCTTCTCCAATATGGGGTCAATTAATTGGACTGACCTCATGCACCTTTGGCTATCATATTTCTTTATTCTACTAAGCAATTTATATTGTGTAGTGTTTAAAGATGGCTCATATTTTCAATGGTTATGTAAGTAACATGGAAGGAACAACTATGAAAATAAACCTATATCTTTCTAAAAAGTATCAACACTACTTCAAATTCAAATAGGATCTTAATAAGTTCACTATTTAAAACCACAATATAGATCTCAGAAGTAAAATTTCAAACAGTTTATCTCAGGAACCATAGAACTGAAAAATAATTGTAATTATACCTTAGTTTAATGATACTACTTTGAATTATGTCACAATAACATAGTCATTTCCATTCATATGTTCAAAATTAACCCAAGGTTTGTTTGCATATCATGATGTTCATCCAATGCAAAATATTTCAAGCAGCAAATGATCCATTTAACTTATGATGAGAACTAACTTCCAATCACTACTGCACAAGAAAAATCAATACATAAGAAATTAAAATATTTCTGGTCATTAGTAATTTTAGATACATTTTGTGAAGTTATATAGTTAATTTTAATATGCTTTTCACTCAATCTTGGTACCTTAGTACTAGATTATACTACCTGAGATGAAGCTATCCTCCTCTGTACATTAGCAGCATGACCAAACTTGGTCATAGGATAATCCTGGCTGAGAAGACATTCAATTTCACTGTCTCAAAAACACTACAGTTTAATCACTAGATCATTTTACCTGAGACAAAAGTTATGTTTTGGATATTGGCACAACAGAATTGGGTTGAATTTGTCAAGAGTATGACTAGTAAATATAAGGAGAGAAAAATCATCTTTGCTGCTGTAGATGGAACATCCTTAGAGAGGTGAGATCACAACAATGCATGAACCGAGGGATGGATCAAAGTCTGACCAAACAACATCATCATAGATGACTGTTTCACAAGTTAAATCTGTAACAGAATTGCTTTCTATCACTTGAGCATTATCGAAGGCAGAACTGGAAGGCTGTATTTCATTACTTAGAATATCACAGTCAATTGTAAAAGCAGAAGTATCTGCCAAATCACATTCTTCTTCATTGTTATAGATGCTATTATTTCTATTGTCATTGTAGTCACTTTGAGCGGAGCCTGGAGAACATGAAGGTAAAAGAGCCGAGCCAACTGTTGAAAAAATACTACATTCTCCATATTCATCCATGTAGTCAAGATTTCTATCATCTGGTGATCCTTTGACAATACTATTTAAAGTAGGCATCTGGGGTCTTACGCAGCGTCGATACCTTAGAAAATCAATGTTTGTATGTAAATATTATTATAAAGTTTATTCATCAATTTTCACTCATAAGATATACTTTCACACCAAATAAAAAACATGAATATGAAAAAATACTGGAATTTGGGATCCTTCTTCAAGCTTGACCTAAAACAATGCTTGTATTTCAGAGGGAATAGAAAATACTACATATTTTTAGTGGATTCAACCGACTTAGTATTTTGTATCAATTTCTCAACTTTGCAAACAAAAGATATTTTCAATAAAATTGTATATGCATTATTCTTAGTACTTACACAGAAAAGTAGAATTTTGATTGTGAAAGGGGGGTAACTAGGGGTGGTGAGGTCCTAAGAAGAGGAATTTTCTTTACCAAGTTAATAATAAAAAAAAACATTTATGGCAAGCCTTCTTTTTAAACTACTTTAGCGTAATTCATCTACCATAATGATGATTTGATGAAATGGTATAGGTACACCTATTTATTCCAACTCATTGTTGTAAATAATACTATGTCTCTACATCTCTAGGAATTCTCCTCCATCATAGTGCAATATTATTAATATTCATTACATGTTTTGTTGTTCAAACTAAATGTGGAAACTTCTAGTTTCATTTATTAACTTAATCAATTTTTAGAATGTTCTATTTGTTTGGCAGAAGGTTCAAAGCATTATTATGAATAATTCATGTTTATCTGTAACCTTGTAGATCTGAATTATAGCTGTCAATTTAATAATAAGCATTGTACAACTATATAATGAATATAATAGCTTATTTAGCTGCTTTAAACATGTCATCAAGCATAAGACAAATGTGTGTGGCATTATCCAATGATCAGCATCATTTCTTTATCTTTTCTAACTTATATTTTTATATTTGCACCTTCTTATAGAAATTTCATCGGAGGGACAGGGATACCTTATAGAATGGAGAAGCCAGAAGTACCCTCCTTTCCCTGAATCATTCACCTATAACTTCATTTGTAAACAAAATAGTCATAAAAATATGGTCACTGATGGACATCTAAAAATAACAAAAAACTGGTCTACTTGAGTAAAACAAATCCTGTATATATATATGTGTGTGTGTGTGTGTGTGTGTGTGTGTATAAATGAGATCTTCAAAACCATTTAGTCAAAATAGGAACTAAGAAACTGGCATAAATAAATTTAATTTATGGAGAAAAACTGTTATTTTGGCACAACCTGGAAATTTAATTGGTATGAATATACGTGAATCTATTGAGATAATTAAATGTAAAAAAAGTAACTTTAAATTATTTAATAAGGATGATGAACCTGATGGAAATGTCAGTAGATGGCATGAAATTCTTTAATATGTAAATTCATGTTTTGATAATTGTATAAATAAGTGTTATTTTTGCAAAACATTAAACTCCTGAGGATGACGCAATAGTATACATTGAAACATGTAGAGCGTATGAGATTGTTTTCCAGTTTCATTGGGGTTTTTTACCACTTTTTATCCTTTACAGTAAGTTATCATATTTTAATAATTTGGAGACTGGAAACAATCTCATTTTTATAGAATTGTGTATAAAATAATTATTGTTTTTTAAAAATTGAGAGTTTTTAAGATTAAACATTGCACATATGCCAAAAGAAATAAAAAAGTATAAAGATTGTTGATTTGTTATTCTAAATCATTCCTTTATATTTTCTTAAAGAATAGAAGATTCCCAACTTATGGAAAATCTGTTATTAAAGTAAAACAAATGTTTAATACACGATGTAAATCCTTTTACTTGCATTATATATACATGTAGAAATGGAAAAATACTACATAATGATAATATATGCTGATTTGTAACAAAAAAAATAAAAAGACTGTGCATAATGTTAAAATCTACTGGATTTTGTACAATGATGAAATCCATCGGTCTCAGGACTCGATTTTAATGGTCCTCCGACATAACTAAAAACTTTCTTGGATGACCAGCTTAAACCAGGAATAGACCCTTACTCAAAACTACACTGCAGTCTGCTGTACGTTTATCTATCCATGCCCACACTACACATGTAATGTTTACTCCGATACTTGACCAAAATTATTCATAAATTCCCAAACTAAGAAATTGAAAATTTTGAACCCCAGAAAAATATCTTTTGGTCCATTTTTTTTTTAAATATTGTACTTCATACAAGAGAAATGTTGCTACAATCCACCAAAAGGGGTTGAAAATGTTAGGAAAAGTTTGCTTTTATAACTGGCTAAACTTTCTATCGTGACAAGCAGTGCATTTGAGTTGCTTTATGCATGTAAATTTTGTATGGAGATAAACTGAGCATGAATGGCTCTGTGTAGTAACATAGTACAGTGTATACAGCTCAATTAGTTACATTACAACACATTGCATTGCTCATTGTTTGCATGCATATATATGGGTGGGTGGCAATTCATAACGTAAATGAATGCCATTAACACGATTATTTAGTGAGATTAATTTCTAGTATGGATGCTTACGACAATAAAACCAATATGGCTGTCCCAACTTCTTACTGATAAACCTTTCATAGGAACTAAAATGATCAAATGTACAAAATCAAACTCAGAATTTTCATTGTTAATCGTTACACTTGAAACACTGACCCCCTTTCAATTACACGCGTATAGGCCTAAGGCTAACATCAGACAGACACATCCAATCGAGTGTAAGAAATACGGAAAGCCTGGCTACCATGAGAATAGCAAGAAAATCCATGAATTAAACATAACATTAAAATGATAACTGCAAACAAAATTTTATGAAAGTTTGATCAGTAAGAAACAGAATAACAATAAATAAAATAAGGTTATCTTTGCCTCTTTCCATATCAGTGGTATATATGTGTGTGTGTGTGTGTGTGTGTGTGTGTGTACCTATGCAGCACTGAGGCATTGTACAAATATTGCAGTATTGTAGTACATGCGAGAGTTCTGATGCAATTCTAGTCTTACTATAGGCTGTACTTGGCAGGCAAGCCAAGCTGGTTAGAATGAAAACATTGAACATGATTGGCCAAGATCACTGTTCTGTTTAAATGTTTTACAGGTCATTGACTGTTTGTTTCCTTAAGATACTACGTAACATTAACATAGTTTAGGCATATATTTTTTTCCAATGTAATGAAACTTCCCAGGAAATAAGATGTCAAAAATTAGTTGAATAAAAATGCATAATTGCCAACTAAACATTAACTGTTCTTTTTGGAAATAAATAAGATACAAGAACATCAAAATTCTTGTAACTGGATCATTTTCACTTATTTGTAGATCAATATTGTCGTAATTGGATCTTTTTTTGAGGATTTACATACTTTTATTTTGGACAACCAATATAGCCTTCCAGACAACCTCTGAAATGTCTTTAAAATCAAGCTCTGTCTGTATACAATAGTGAAATTTACAGGACTGTGTATAATTGTGAAACTTAATGGGTTTTGTACAATGGTGAAATTTACTGAACTGCATACAATGGTGGAATCTACTGGGCTGTATACAATGGTGATACTTATTGTACTTTGCACAATGGTGACATTACTCAGGTTGGACAATGGTGAAATTTATCTACCTGTGGACAATGGCAGAATTTACTGGATTTTGTACGATAGTGAAATTTACTGGACTGCATGCAAAGATGAGATTTACTGGTTTGTGTGCAATGATGGAGTTTACTAGTCCATACAAAAAGAGGATTTCTGGTTTGGACAAAGATGAAATTTATTGGTTTGCATAAAATGATAGTGATAATTGGTCTGTGTACAACTAATGGGTCTACTGATATAGATGTATCAAAATAAGGTTTACTGGTGTGTGTGTAAAACGTAAGTCTTACAGAAAGTACTATGTTCAATGACAAGGTTTACCAGTCTGGTATAAAAATAAGGTGTACTAATTAATATACAACTACAGGGTCTACTGGTATGTACAAAAAGGAGGTTCACTAGTATATAAAAATATGACATTCACTAGTACGTACAAGCATTGTTTACTAGCTGTACAGAAACAATGTTCATTTTTCTGTACAGAGGACGAGCTTATTCGCCATTTTGTTTTATAACATCAGGAGTAGAGAAATAGGCTTAAAACTAGAAGTTACTGCATATGAAAATATCTCCATCTCAAAATTTAAAAACCTTTCTGAAATAAATTAATGAAGTTAGGTCTAATTAAGAAATATTTCTCCAGGTTCAAAAAATCACTAAAAAAATTAAAAGTTTGGAAACAATTGAAATGACTACTGAGTTTCATTAACTTGGAAACACAATTTTTCTAAACCATTACGTCACCATCTACTGAAATTTACAAAAATATTTAACTGAGATTAAGAAGACCAAATTATAGTTCACTCTTACTTGCAAGCTTGCTTGATGATGTTTGGTCCACCAAATTTCTTCTTATCACTAAGAAAAAAAAAAAGTTATTACCACAAGAATTTATAACATATATATATATTTTCATCTTTTGTTTTCTTACTCATTAATCTTGTTAACCCAAACAGGTACTGAAACCCCAATTTTTTTCATTCTATTGATTTTACTCAAACTTAAATAGAACTATTCTAAATTTTGATATCAGATCTTTCAACATTAAAACAATTACCTAGATAAAAAATTACTCAGTTTATAAAGTTCTCTAAAGAACAAAACTTAAGATTTTGTGCAATCATTTTACATTGAAATATTATATTCAGATGTTCATGTTATGCTGGCAGGATGACCTCTTGTCCCATATCATCACTGGCTATCCTGTCACTGGGGGAATTCTTTCTAGGCAAGTGGTCAAGTGAATCCACTGATGGTTCTATTCTTGTTAATCCTCTGAAAGAAGTTTCAACAGGAACCCTGGGTTCCTTTTAGTAACCCAGTTGGCCTTTCTCTCAATGATGTACTTTCAAAGGTAATCATGGTAATGACCTTTTACATGGGCTGCCTACCTTTCTGGACTATGTAAGCCACATCATGATTCTTTCAGCATAATTTAATGACTTCCCAACATCTACCCAAATTTTGGAGTTTGTCCAATCTTGTGATGAGAATTGTTCAACCATACTATATCACAATTATAAAAATTGGTTTTATCAGCATTAACATCATAGGGAATTTTCATTATATCACAAGCAGATTGATGATTCTCCCAGATAAAGTCATGCAGGACATCTTTACTCTTCAGTTCCACAAGAGCTCTTCAACCATCAATCCCTTAGGACAATAATATGAAAAAATATGAGGCCAGAGCCAACTGAAAGGGAAGGAATGAGAACCAAACAATCAACCAATGCAGACAAACAAAAAACTAGGCAGACAAATCAGAATGTGGCGAGTGGTAAGACTGAGAATCAGTCATCCACTACTGAGGAAAGTTCTACCAGAGAATGAGAAACTGCCATCATGATTCAAAGAAATACCAAAGTTGAGTGAAGTGAGACAGAATGGTATTTAAATGACAACTGTCCACCTTTGTAGGAATGATAAAAAGATACAAGTAATACCCCAAAGTGGGGTTGAAGAATTGAACTAAGATGTTTGAAACAGATGGGGTGAAAAGTAGAATAACAGGAAAATCCAAGAAAGAACCTAAGGAATTCAACAGGTTGAAGCAAAGGAAGCCCACCAGTAGACACAGTGGGGAGAGCAGAGGTCCCATAGAACTGGAGCCAAGGGGTGATTCCAGAAACAAATACCTCCAAGACTTGTGATAGCCAGCCTACAAAGAGAAAGAGAGATATGGGTAGTAACAAGAGGACAAGGAACAGAAGAGACGGTGACCAAAGAAGGTCATATACTATAAGAAACCCAGGCAAGAGACTAAAATGAGCATAGACGACTACTGAAGAAATATTTCCAAAAAACACATCACAAGGAAAAGATGCGAGAAAGAGGTCCTGGTAAGGAGATTGAGAAATGTGAAAGAAATGCAACCTGACAAAGTACACCCAACAACAAAAATAAAGAAATCAAGATAACTGGGATAAAACTGATGGCAAGATGAAAAACAGATATATCTATGTTGCCCTTTTAAAGTTGACAGGGTCATAATGGAAAGCCTCCAAATGAATGAGAAACATGAGAATGAACAAAGAATTTGAGGAAGAGAAGATGATGATTAGATGGAGAGAAAGAAAAGGGAAGGGAAAAAAAGGATTCCTAAACTGAAAGATTCATATAAATGAGGCTTAAGAAATAAGATAGCCTGAGATTCAGCAAAATATTACTGGAGAAAGTCAAAAACAAAATACACATGCCTGTAGAATCCAAGCAATGAAGGATGAAAGTGGGACTATCTGATCCATGTTGGGAAGAGGAAACAAGAAGCAAATGTAGGCATGTAACAAAAGATGGAGCAGCCACAGTAATGGTAGTAATATCATTGTCCACCAGTGTCTTTAGTAACCATGGCAATACTGTGAAGGAATGTTAAAAACCTCAGAGATGTGGAAAATGTGGGAATCAATGCATAATCAAGTAAATCCAAGAAATTTATGTTGTGGTGCTCTGTTTTTGTAAAATGTGTAAGTGTAGATTTTTTTTTAATCAGTTAAGGAGAAAAGGAACCAAGTACAGCAGTGGTGCATAGACCTAATGATGATCTTGTATGGTGGAGTAAGTAATAGAAACAAACAATGGGACATTTGTCTCACAAGTTCAAAGTTGATTAAAGGAAAATCAGAGAGAAGATACTTAAAATGAAATTTCAAATTGATAACTTAAAAACTTAGTTCACATAATTAAGAAAAGAAAGCATGACAAATAATAACAAAAGGTTAAAACAATAAGTACAAAAACTCCAGTAAATCTAATGAAAAAAAAAATAATCTGAAGACCAGCAGTGCCGAGAAAAGAATGAGCCTGTGTTCACATGATAATGCTCATGGGGATAACTGTGCATGGAAGATGTGTCACCCTCATACTGGTGGAGAACTATAGTCTAGTGATGATTACATCACAGGCTGGCAAAATACATGTTGAAACGTGTAGGAGTGAGAGCTTTGTTCAAGATTTGTGGCACGTGCAGGAAATTTCATGGCAGTGTGCATGAGGTAATAGCTCATGGTGGAGCATAAAGGTGAGTAACATTTCTGAATTTCATAACTTTATGAATATATATAAAATGGTTCACATGAAACTGGAAAGAAAGAATAATCACAGTTTCTGTAAAAAACAGTTATCAGACCTTCAACTCAATAAGCTTTGTTATCTGCCCAGTTCCTTAAGTATAGTTTTTCTACTTAACATTGAAAACCATTTTGTAAACTCATGTAAGTTCATTTATAATTTTCCCATTTGGAATTTTTGTCATGGTTGTCAGATTTTGAACACAGCAATTACGCAAGCTACAAACCAAAAACAGCAATTATCAGACCTAATCAGTTATTTTTGTCATAAGACAAATTCAATTAGACTTAATGTGTTTTTAAACAGTTCACTTTATTTGGTCCCTTAGAGATTTTTTGAGAAGAGTGTATAATAGTATTTCAACCAAACTGGTTATGGCAAGCAAAGTGAGGTTGAAATACTATTATATACTATTCTCAGAAAAATCCCAAAGAACTAAAAAGAATGTGTTTAGAAATAAAAGTCTATTACTAATGCCTTATTACAAATATATATTTAATTATAATCATAATTTATCAGCATAAGACATAACAATTGGCAGACCCTTTTAGATATTAATGATAAACTGTATTGTAAAATAAATCGTTATTCTTGCAGAGATGTTGAAAATGGCTTCAATTATGTTTGTAATATGAAAAATATCCAATTTAATTACTCTTTTGTTGTTTTTAATTTTGCAAATATTTCTTCAAGAAGTTAGAATAATTAAATATTTTACTGATCTTAAAAATGACCTTGACAATGAAAATAAGATCTATAGCAAACTCTTATGTTGGAAATTGTTGTTTTGGTGACACTGGCTTTACTATTAGATGCAACTTGTATCCGTTTTTGAAATTTTCTTTAAACAGTGTTGTACTTTTAATAGATGACTTGATATAAAGGCTTGGAATTATTATAAATATCTTGTGTTCTAGAATATTACATGTATACTTACAGGCAATAACTACACCTTCCACATTCTTCTGCAAGACAGCCTTCACAATTCTTACACCTAACCTTCCTCACACGATCTGACTGCTGGACACACTTCTTGGTCAATTGGTTCGAAACTTTAGTTTTATAAGGAATTTTATTGATCTTTTTAGAAGATAAGGGCACTTTTCTATTATTCTTTAGCTTTTCTTTGATAATCCCCTCTAAATAATACTTCCCTGCATTACTAAATGATTGACTGTTGACTTCCAGTGAGCCCAAGCCATCTTGGTCTGAAACTCCTAAAAATATAAAATGACCAAGAAAATAGATATTTTATTTTTTAAACATAAGCCTAACAAAAATATCAAGAACCAAAACTAAAATTTCCATACATTCCATCATAGAATTCCATTAACTCTTTCAGCAAGGGCTCGGTCCCTGGGACCGACCTCGTAACCTTAATGTGCTTGTTATAGTTTTCA